ACCAGATGATCAATCATCATCTCTTCCACTCTACCGGAGGAGTTGTCTTCCCTGCAAAACCCCAAAACCAATTCAAGAAAACTAGTTTAGTTGAGTGAGAAATTGTAGAATCACTAGGTAAGATGATTTTCATGTGAGGAAACTTGTTTGGTTTGTTTAGGACACTAACCGTTTCCTTCTCGGGACGAAAGAAGAGGTTTCTCGGTCTTATTCCCGCTTTTTCCACCCGAGTTTGAGACTCTTGTTGTTTTGGGAGAATGAGAAGTGACTCTTGCACTGTTACCCGAGGATGGTAGAGAGTAACGTCTACTGGCTTTCTCAGTTCCCACTTGTAGCTTAGGAGAAGAAGAGCTCTGTAGCCTCAGCTTTGCTTTTGCGGATTTAGTCGCTTGCATATAGCTCGGTATTCCCGGGCTACTAGTCTGATGTCCATTAGTATTCTCTTGACACTCGCCGGTTTGAGCAGTAGTAGTAACCGAAGAAGCCTTTTTCCCGGACTTCTGATTCTCCTTCCCAGCTGAATTCTCCTTATTGTTGTTTTGTTTGGGTGTTGTCTCTTCTTTTGCATACTCTTTTTCCTCAGCCATTACATTTTCTTCGCTCTCTTCGATTTGATTGACCAATGTTGGATCAAGTGCTTCACTGGTTTCCAAAGGTCCATGAGTTTGTATTATCAACTCCTCAGGCTGTTCCACCACCGTCTCAGCTATTTCATATTTTTTCTCTTCATCCAACGCATTCGCGGGTTCTTCTAAAGCCGGATTTGACTTCTCAATCTCCTTTTGTGGACTCTGCTGAGGTTGGATAGAGTTCTCAACTACAGGATTATGTACTTTCCTCAAGCCACGTTTCACTTTCTCTAGATCAACTTGAGGATTTTCTGCTGCTGGTGGTGGTTCTACAGATTGGGTTGTTGAAACTTTGCGGAAGCTTCGTTTCGGTTTCTCAAACACAAAAGATGTCTGTACAGCCGAGGGATTGTCGAGATTTGAAGCAGGGACTTTGCGAACACTCTTTTTCGGTCTAGCAAACTCAGCCTCGGCTATCTGAGAATTACTGGCAAACTTCTTCTGAGTTTTTCTGACCGATGCTTTCTTCGGTTGAGGAACTGGTTTCCAGAAGCAAGACGCTGACCAGTTCTCTAACCAGATTGAATTGGAAGAACCATTGTCGAGGACCTCGAGGTGCAAAGGCATCACATTTGGTGATGAAGCAAGAAGCTGATAAAAAGAAGAATAAAAAAATCATCCAACAAAGTATTCTTAATTCATAGTTTCAACATAGTAATAGCAGAAACAAGTATACCTTCTGAGCAAAAGCATTTGCGGTTAGCTTCTTGATTCCCAGGTAAGTATGTGTATCAACAACAGAGTCGGCGAGTTTATTATCCTGATAAGACAAAAAAAAAGGTCAGTTGCAGAATTAAAGTAAAAAGCTATTCAGCAAGAGAAACCGAAATCATAGAGAAGCGTGTGATGAGCATTACAAGAGGCTGACGATGCAACAGGCATTTCCTATGAACTTCAACTCCGATATCGGAATGTCTGATCTCTCTTCCTCGAGCAAGTGCTTGCAATCTAACAATTCCCATAACACAGCACAGAGTCGAAACAGCTTGCCTCCTAACCAAGTGACCACGGATAAGTGCTTGTAGCCTTATTATACCTTTTAATGCCCAGAAAGCACGTCGAGCCTTCACGTAGAGAAGCTTAAGTCAAGATACCAAAAGAAAAGACACCAAGAACTGCAAATCAAGAGCTTAAAAATATTACCAAGTAGCCTCTAAACGCAGCCTGCAAGATTGTGGCTGCAATCTCTTGCTGATTTTTCTCTGATTCGGATAGTGAATCATCAGGAACAGGAGCAGCATTTTGAGAAACTGTTGGTTGGACCTCAGCAAGTTGTATCTCTTCGTCTGAAACCACTTCATGTTCTAGATTCTGTGTCTCTACCATACCACTGGTATAAACTGCTGCATTTGCATTCCCAAAGGATGGAAGATCCGAAACCACATCGGATTCTTCAATCTTTGAAATAACCACAACCTCTTTCCCATTCACAATTCTCTGCGCATATGTGATATCCATATTATAACCATTGAAAACAGACAACAAAGAGAAAAGAAATCAGAAAGTGACACCATAGACAACAGTAGTCAGAACAGAATCAGTCGTAACAATCCAGGAAAAAATTGCAACACAAAAGTTCAAGAACTAGTAAAAGAGACATGTCACATTGTCATGTAACCCACATTAAGGATTTTTTTTTAATCCATCTACGACAAACATTACTGTTCTCGACCGCAAAAGATTTAACTATCCGAATTCGATATCCATATGTTTATAATCATACAACAGTTTGGAAAACAACAAAAAAGCAGTACCTCCTTCTCTTTAGAACCACTAGATTTAGATGGTTTCTTCCCAAGTAATACACTTTTTAACCATCTTGCAGGCTTTCCCATGATGTCAAGAACCAAATCCAAAACACCTGCATTTGTCCGAGCAATCACAAAAGATTATGCACAAGCTAAAACAACACTAATATACTTACCAATTAGTAAATTTTCTGTAAGTTTCGATTTTGCATAGAACTTGAAATCAAAGAGGTACATAAGCTCTTTGTAACAGGATTCATCAAACTAAGTTCAATGGATCAGACATTTGTTTCTCAAAAAACTATGTAAAGATCCCAAATTCAGAATCACTGTCGGCTACTAAATTAAGAAAATTAAACATATAATCATTCGTTCATGAGTACATACATGAGCTAAAGATTTGTGTTATTTTTAATATATAATCAGTTCTAATAATAAGGTAAATGATAGATCACAATCATTAACCAATGAAATCAAACAAGAAAGACAAAGAAAAACAAAATGATTACACTAAAATCAACAAAAATCTCCAAAATTGCAATGGAATTTACCAAAACCAGATCTGGAACTCACCTTGCAAGTAAAAGAACCCTAGACCTCAAATCTACACCACCCTGATCTCAAAACCGACAATAAAAACAACAAAAACAACAAGCAAGAATATTAGAGATCCTCGAGTTTATTTATTTATTTAAAACAAATAAAACTCCACAGTAGTCGAACTATTTCAAGAAATGTCGGTCTCAAATTCAAGCACCTGTCGGATCTTCTGTCTGAATCCGACACGAACTAAGAAGAAGACAACATTACCTTGAATGGTTTCAGTGACAGGATTAGCTCAAGATGCTTTCCATTTTACAATCTCTTTAAGTGAGACTCTTTGGTGGTTAGTTTCAGTGACAACGA